CTCGAGGAGGCACTCACGCTTGTCAACAATCGTTTCAAGCTCCTTCACGTCGCCGATTACACGAACTTCCGCGTCGCTAACCAGTTCAAGATGTACGAAGAGAAGAGCTTGTCCACCTCACGCCCATTCAAGCAAGCCATGGCGGACGTTGCGGCCATGGAACGTGCACAAGGCAATCTCAGTCGTGCCGCACGAGGTGGAGGGCAAGGAACCGGGGCATTTGGCAACAAACGCGGGCCGCCAATGGACGACAACAACAGGAGCTTTCGTGGAACCAGTTTCAAGTGTGGGCAGCCAGGCCACATGGCTAATGTGTTTCCTGAAAACGGGCGAGGACCCCAAGGTCCCGCGCCGGTGGTGTGACCCTATGAGAGGGAAACCACTTGGGGTGCCGAGAGGATGTTGCATGGGCAACATGGCACGCTTAGGCCGCTGGCCAGACCGGTTGAGTGCGTAGAACGGCCCCCGGCCGACCCCAAGTGAAGGGGATAGGACTAGGAGTCCTATTTTTTGGCCATGAATGGCAATCATGAGATGTATGCGCATGGAATATGGGCTGGAAGGGCATAAAATGTGGATTATTGTTGATGCGTGGCCTAATGAATAATATCTGAATATTTGAAACCTGGATTGTTGAGGCAAACAACCCTCAAAGAGTGGAGGTATACGCTGTAGATAGAAAAAAGAGAGAGCGAGAGAGAGAGAGAAAGAAAGAAGGAAAGTAAGACGAGAAAGAAAAAGAGCAAGTGCAATGATGGGGATTTCTAAGGAGGCCACACGATTTGGCCAGCACCAGCCCAATTCAACGGGACACGAGAGCGTCACTAGTAAGGCAAGCACACAAGGAGGCATAAAAATGGAGAGGGGCATGTATATTACTACGCGCAATTGCCACGACGGAAAAAATGGCCCGCGATACAAGGTACGCTACGAAAACGAAAAAAGGCGAGACACGATACGACAGCCCGCCCAGGGCTCGTTGAACATCGAGAGCCATCAGATGCACAAATGCAAGCCCAAGGCCCTGGATATTGGGCATGGAAAAAAAAAGTGAAGAAGAAGCGAGAGAGAGAGTAAGAGAGAGGCAAACGGGTCAATACGTAAGAGAAGGTGAAGAGTGTGCATATGACCTATCCAGTAAGGGTTCAGCCACACACTGCTCTGTTGTTGGTACATGCAGTCGTGCTCATGAAAAAAAAAATGCGTACTCACAGTCCGTGCTTTTCTGCGACCCGTTGCATAGATATACCAGAGTTTGGGATGGGCGAGCGGCACATTCCCTACGAATACGCGATCACAGACGAGCTCGTAACAAGGATGCGTGGGCGGCTACGCGCGGCATTTCCATGGTGGAGCTCATGGTGCGAAAGCAGCTTCATACTGTCAGTAATTATACACGGCTACTGGATGCTGTGGAAACTTGCCTCCCCGGCGCTGTTCCAGCGCGACAACCATGCGGGCGCACAGATCCACGCCCAGCTCACCAAACAGGCTATTAGCGAGCTCCTGGAAAGCGGCGCAGCGGTTCTCGCTCCCGCGGATCAGCCTGTATGTATTAGCCCACTGAACGTGGTGGTCCAAAGAGAGAAATGCCGACTGATCCTCGACCTCCGCCAAGTGAACCTACACTTGCGCATTCCAAAATTCAAATACGAGGGGCTCAACCGGGTTGTGGAGATCGCTCGCCCGGGCGATTGAATGTTCTCCATCAACCTGAAGTCTGTGTCAAACTATATATGTGTGTTAGTTCTGTGTAGGCTATAGTGGGGTAGCCCATATGGGGTACAACCCAAAGTTAGGGTTAGTGTTTGTACCCACCTTTCATTCAATACACACATTCCTGCTTCTAGATTCTAACATGGTATCAGAGCAGTAGGTCCGTAGGACCGTTTTTTTTTTTTTTTTTTTCGGGCCCACCCTTCGCTAGTGACCGTCTGCGGTTACCGTGCTGCCCCACGCCCTGTTCTGCGTCGCGCTGCCCGTGCGCGCCCTGCCCTGCCCTGCCTTGTGCTGCGCAGCCCCGCGCACTCCCTGCCCTACCGTGCGTCACGCCGCCACGCGCACGCCCTGCCCTGCGTTGCGCCGCCCCGCGCACGCCCTGCCTTGCCTTGCCGTGCGCCGCCCCAGAGCCCGCGCGCGGCCCCTGCCCTTGTCGCGCGCCGCCCCAGAGCCCGCGTGCCGCTCCTGCCTGCCCGTCGCGCCGCCCCAGAGCCTGCGCGCGGCCCCTGCCCTTGCCGTGCGCCGCCCCAGAGCCCACGCACCGCCCCTGCCTGCCCGTCGCGCCGCCCCAGAGCCCGTGCGCGGCCCCTGCCCTTGCCGTGCGCCGCCCCAGAGCCCGCGCACGGCCCCTGCCCTTGTCGCGCGCCGCCCCAGAGCCCGCGGGCCGCTCCTGCCTTCCCGTCGTGCCGCCCCAGAGCCTGCGCATGGCCCCTGCTCTTGCCGTGCGCCACCCCAGAGCCCGCGCGCCGCCCCTGCCTGCCCGTCGCGCTGCCCTAGAGCCCGCACGCTGCCCCTGCCTGCCCGTCGCGCCGCCCCAGAGCCGGCACGCGGCCCCTGCCCTTGCCGTGCGCCGCCCCAGAGCCCGCGCGCCGCCCCTGCCTGCCCGTCGCGCCGCTCTAGAGCCCGGGCGATTGAATGTTCTCCATCAACCTGAAGTCTGTGTCAAACTATATATGTGTGTTAGTTCTGTGTAGGCTATAGTGGGGTAGCCCATATGGGGTACAACCCAAAGTTAGGGTTAGTGTTTGTACCCACCTTTCATTCAATACACACATTCCTGCTTCTAGATTCTAACATGGTATCAGAGCAGTAGGTCCGTAGGACCGTTTTTTTTTTTTTTTTTTTCGGGCCCACCCTTCGCTAGTGACCGTCTGCGGTTACCGTGCTAACCCACGCCCTGTTCTGCGTCGCGCTGCCCGTGCGCGCCCTGCCCTGCCCTGCCTTGTGCTGCGCAGCCCCGCGCACTCCCTGCCCTACCGTGCGTCACGCCGCCACGCGCACGCCCTGCCCTGCGTTGCGCCGCCCCGCGCACGCCCTGCCTTGCCTTGCCGTGCGCCGCCCCAGAGCCCGCGCGCGGCCCCTGCCCTTGTCGCGCGCCGCCCCAGAGCCCGCGTGCCGCTCCTGCCTGCCCGTCGCGCCGCCCCAGAGCCTGCGCGCGGCCCCTGCCCTTGCCGTGCGCCGCCCCAGAGCCCACGCACCGCCCCTGCCTGCCCGTCGCGCCGCCCCAGAGCCCGTGCGCGGCCCCTGCCCTTGCCGTGCGCCGCCCCAGAGCCCGCGCACGGCCCCTGCCCTTGTCGCGCGCCGCCCCAGAGCCCGCGGGCCGCTCCTGCCTTCCCGTCGTGCCGCCCCAGAGCCTGCGCGTGGCCCCTGCTCTTGCCGTGCGCCACCCCAGAGCCCGCGCGCCGCCCCTGCCTGCCCGTCGCGCTGCCCTAGAGCCCGCACGCTGCCCCTGCCTGCCCGTCGCGCCGCCCCAGAGCCGGCACGCGGCCCCTGCCCTTGCCGTGCGCCGCCCCAGAGCCCGCGCGCCGCCCCTGCCTGCCCGTCGCGCCGCTCTAGAGCCCGCGCGCCGCCCCTGCCTGCCCGTCGCGCCGCCCTAGAGCCCGCACGCTGCCCCTGCCTGCACGTCGCGCCGCCCCAGAGCCCGCGCGCCGCCCCTGCCTGCCCGTCGCGCCCCCCTAGAGCCCGCGCGCCGCCCCTGCCTGCCCGTCGCGCCGCCCTAGAGCCCGCACGCTGCCCCTGCCTGCCCGTCGCGCCGCCCCAGAGCCTGCACGTGGCCCCTGCCCTTGCCGTGCGCCGCCCCAGAGCCCGCGCGCCGCCCCTGCCGGCCTGCGTGCCGCCCTGTCCGCCCGCGCAGCGCTCTGCTAGCCCGCGCGCCCGGCCCTGCCTTGCCCTACGCCCGCCCTGCCCTGCCGAGCGCCGCCCCGGAGCCTGCGCGCCGCCTTGCCCGCCCGCGCGCCGCTCGGCTAGCCTGCGCACCAACCCTGCCTTGCCCTGCCGCTTGACATCCCTGGGCCTGCGCACCGCCTTGCCAGCCAGCGCGCCGCTCTCCTAGCCCGCGCGCTCGCCTCCTGCCCACCTACACGTCGCCCTCTGCAGCCCGTGTGTCTCCGTTCCTGCCTTGCCCTGCCCTACCTTCTTCCTATACCCACTCTGGCTTCTCTTAGTGGTAGTGGTGGGAGTCGTGGCGGCGGTGGGGGCAGCGGAGGGAGTGGTGGAGGCAGCCGCAGCGGCAGTCGAGGTGGAGCTGTTCGGTGGGGAGGTTCTGGTGGTGGCCAGCTGCAGCTTCAGCGAGGTCCGCGCGTCACCCTTCCGCCCCAGCAGCTTCGTGAGTGGTATTTTCAGTGTGGGAAGTCTCCGAGTACTGGTCGCTGCCCGTACGTCATTCGCACAGGTGCTCGGGCCGGGCAGACCTGCGGGAGACCTGACCATTCACAGCCCTGCTTCTTCGCCTATTTGAGTGACGCCTGGAGAGAGGTGTTTGGCGACGAGGCTGAGCCCCCCAGCTGGCTGGAGCTGCTTCGACACAGGGTGGACGTCTTTGCTCTAGACTTGGACGCTATACTTACTGCCATGTATACTCTGACTGTGGGTACTGAGGGTGACTGTTACCTCTGTGTGCCGCCCGACCCTGGCATAGAGGCTGCTACTCTAGGTACTAGTGCGTCTGCTCTAGGTGCTAGTGAGTCTGCTCTAGCTGGTACTGCGTCTGCTGAGCCCTTGCACACCTTCACGCTTGACTCAGGTGCTACACACTGTTTTTTTCGCGACAGTACCGCACTCACACCGCTCCCTAGACCGGTTGCGGTCTCCCTGGCTGACCCCTCTGGGGGTCCGGTTCTTGCACGTTCCTCCACCGTGCTCCCGTGTCCGGCGGTTCCGTCCGGCTCGCTGTCAGGTCTCCACCTCCCCTCGTTCTCGACGAACTTGGTGAGTAACGCAGCTCTTCAGGATGAGTGGGTTAATACCTTTATCCCCGTAGCCCAGCATGTGGCGATCTGCACATGTGCACAGACGGGCCGTCACCTGGCCACGTTTACCCGTCGGCCTGGGTCGAGTCTGTACACACTGACTACTGAGCCTCCCCAGGTTGCTGCGTCTGGTCAGGTGGCTGCATCATGTCTGGTAGCCCCCCCGTGCGAGTGTCATCACCTGTCATCACCCCTCGCTACCTGGTCTCTGGTCTTCCCAGGTCTCTGCCTTCCCTCCCGCCCTCGCCTGCCCCGCCCTGCATTCCTTGCGTCGAGGGGCGGCAGCGCGCCACTCCTCACTCCTCCTCGTTTCCCCCGATAGATGCTCCCCTGCAGACTCTCCACCTGGACGTGTGGGGCCCAGCCCGCGTCCAGGGACAGGGCCGCGAGCGGTACTTTCTGCTGGTTGTCGTTTTCTACTCGCGTTACACAACGGTCTTCTCCTTGCGCAGCAAAGCTGAAGTCCCTCCTGTTTTGATTCTTGTGCGTCTCGAGCTCCACGAGCGGTTCGACACGGACCTTCCCGTCCTGCGTCTGCACTCTGACAGAGGTGGTGAGTTCTCCTCTGACCTCTTGCGGGACTTTTGTCAGGGGGAGGGCATCCTCCAGTCGTTCACGCTTCCGGCCTCTCCGCAGCAGAATGGGGTTGCTGAGCGCCACATTGGCTTAGTCATGGAGGTTGCTCGTACCTCCATGATCCATGCGCCGGCTCCCCATTTTCTGTGGCCGTTTGCGGTCCGGTACGCTGCGCATCAGCTCAACCTCTGGCCCCGTGTCTCCTTGCCGGAGACCTCGCCCACATTGCGTTGGACGGGGGAGGTTGGCGATGCATCGCGCTTCCGGGTCTGGGGTTCTCGTGCCTTTGTCCGCGATACCATCGCGGACAAGCTCTCCGCTCGCGCCATTCCCTGCGTCTTCCTTGGTTTTCCCCCTGACACGCATGGCTGGTAGTTTTACCACCCCATGTCGCGTCGGGTGTTCGCCTCTCAAGACGTTACGTTTGACGAGTCGGTTCCCTTTTACCGTCTCTTTCCCTACCGCACTGCCCCTCTCCCCCCCCCGCCGCTCTTCCTCGCTCCAGGTCCCCCTCCGGTAGACCCCCTCCCCCCCCCCCCCCCCCCCCCCTTCGGGTCCTGCTCCTTCAGGTGTGTCTCAGGTAGACCCGCCTCCCTTGCCTGAGCCTGTCGAGGTCACTGGTGACTCAGGTGCCGCTGAGGGTGGTGCTGCTCGGGTTGTTGCGTCTGGGGGTGTTGAGCCTGCGGGTATGGAGCCTGAGCGTGTAGAGCCTGGGGGTGTTGTGCCTAGGGGTGCTGAGCCTGGGGGTGCTACGCCAGAGCGGGAGGAGCCTAGGGGTGCTGAGCCTACGGGTGCTACTTCTGGGGGTGCTGAGCCTGGTGGTGCTACGTCTACCGGCGGTCTTCCGGGTTCCTCGCCGCGGTGGTCTCCCCAGCGAGGGCCTCTCTCACCACAGCAGCTGCGCGAGTGGTTGGCTCAGTGCGCCCGCCTTTGGAGTGGTACTACTGGTCCTGGTGAGGCTGGACCTGGAGGCCCTGGAGCTGGAGGTTCTGGAGCTGGAGGTACTGGAGCTGGAGGTGCTGCACCTGGTGGTATGGAGCTACTAGTCCTGGAGGTCCTCCCGGGGCCTCGCCCCAGCAGTCTAGCCGGCGGGAGCCTCTCTCACCACAGCAGCTGCGCGAGTGGTACGCTCAGCGCTACCGCCTTCCGCGTGGAGCTGCTGGAGCTGGAGGACCTAAAGCTACTAGTACCGCAGGAGCTGGCACTGCTGGTCCCGGAGGTGCTCGTACTGGGGGTACTGGAGCTGCCGGGGCTGGTGGTGCTGCTGGTGCTGGAGGTGCTGGTGGTGCTGGCACTGCTGGTCCCGGAGGTGCTCGTACTGGAGGTACTGGAGCTGCCGGGGCTGGTGGTGCTGCTGGTGCTGGAGGTGCTGGTGGTGCTGGCACTGCTGGTCCCGGAGGTGCTCGTACTGGGGGTACTGGAGCTGCCGGGGCTGGTGGTGCTGGTGGTGCTGGAGGTGCTGGTTATGCTGGCACTGCTCGTCCCGGAGGTGCTCGTACTGGAGGTGCTGGAGCTGCCGGAGCTGGTGGTGCTGCTGGTGCTGGTGGTGCTGGCACTGCTGGTCCCGGAGGTGCTCGTACTGGAGGTACTGGAGCTGCCGGAGCTGGTGGTGCTGCTGGTGCTGGAGGTGCTGGTGGTGCTGGCACTGCTAGTCCCGGAGGTGCTCGTATAGGGGGTACTGGAGCTGCCGAAGCTCGTGGTGCTGCGGGTTCTGGAGCTGGAGGCACTGGAGCTGGAGGGACCGGAGCTGGTGACCCGGGAGCTGGGGGCGCTAGACCTAGAGGCGCTGGAGCTAGAGGTGCTGGAGCTGGAGGTTCTGGAGCTGCTGGAAACCCTGGAGCTGCTGGAGGCCCTGGAGCTGCTGGTACTAGTACTAGAGGTATTGGTGCTGGAGGAGCTAGAGCTAGTGGTCCTGCCCAGCCGCGACTGTTCTTTACTCCGCCGTCGTCGTCGTCTCTACCACCGTCTGACTCCGTACTTCGCCAGGTTCTGGGCCTCCCGTCGTCCACTGGCCTCCCGTTACAGCCCGGCTCCACTTTGCCTGCTCCTTCTCCTTACACTGAGCAGACGGACTCGCTTACGGAGCGTCGTGAGCCTGCGTCTCGTCCTGTCTCGCCCACTCGCACTGTCCGCATTAGCCGTCGTGTCCCGCGTCCGCGTCCTCCTCCTGTGCCAGGTACTCACACTATGGCACTTTGCCTTTCCTCTGCTCCACAGCGCGTCCCTCTGCCGTCTCCTCCTGCGTCCTCTCTTCCTACTGTGCCGGACCCTGAGTCTGACCTAGTTCGTGCTGCTCACCCGACTGTCTCGCATCTGTTAGCCACTATTGTCACTGACCCTTCTTTTGAGTCGAGTGTCTTGCAGCCGCTGTACCTCATCTCGTGGCCATGCTGCTTGCTCCTGAGGGAGACCCGGATGCACTGGACATCCCGACCCCGCGCTCTTACGTAGAGGCGATTTCGGGTCAGTACTTTTCTCAGTGGCAGACAGCCATGGACGCAGAGATGGCATCCTGGAAGTCCACAGGCACTTACGTCGACGAGGTTCCCCCTCCTGGGGCGAACATCGTCGATGACATGTGGATTTTCAGGGTGAAGCGGCCGCCAGGTTCTCCGCCTGTCTTCAAGGCTCGTTACGTTGCACGAGGCTTCAGTCAGCGACAGGGAGTTGACTTCTTCCAGACCTTCTCCCCTACCCCGAAGATGACCACTCTTCGGGTGCTGCTGCACGTTGCCGCTTAGCGTGACTACGAGCTTCACTCTCTGGACTTCAGCACAGCGTTCTTACAGGGCAGTCTGCACGAGGAGATCTGGCTGCGCCACCCACCTGGCTTCACTGGGTCGTTTCCTCCTGGTACCCAGTAGAGCCTCCGGCGGCCAGTCTACGGTCTCCGTCAGGCGCCTCGTGAGTGGCACGACACACTGAGGACGACACTGGCGGCTCTTGGGTTTGCTCCTTCCACTACTGACCCGTCGCTGCCGCCGTTCTACATCCTCGTGTACATTGACGACTTGGTCTTTGCCACTGCTCGCCCTTGTGAAGTCGGAGCTGTAGAAGAGACACACGTGCACAGACCTGGGTGAGCTGTGCAGTTACCTTGGCTTGCAGATCACCCGGGATAGAGCACGCCGCACCATCACCCTGACTCAGTCACACATGGTGCAGCAGATCCTTCAGCGCTTCGGCTTCACCTGGTCCTCGCCACAGTCCACTCCTATGGCTACGGGTCACTCGCTCTCAGCTCTGCCTTCGGATGAGTCCGTAGAGCCGAGTGGCCCGTATCGTGAGCTTGTGGGCTGCCTCATGTACTTGATGACCTGCACTCGACCTGACCTTGCGTACCCTCTTAGCATCCTGGCTCGCTACGTTGCGCCCGGGAGACACCGGCGAGAGCACTGGGAGGCTGCTAAGAGGGTGTTACGCTACTTGTGTAGTACATCGGGCATGGGGCTCGTGCTTGGAGGACGGGGTGACGTTGTCCTCACTGGACACTCCGACGCTTCTTGGGTCGACGACCTGGCTACGCAGCGGTCGTCGCAGGGGTACACGTTCAGCCTTGGCTCCGGCTCTGTTTCTTGGCGGTCTACACGCTCGTCTTCTGTTCTCAGCTCCAGTTGTGACGACTACTCCCTGAAGACACCTTGGTTCCTCCTCATAGAGCGTCGTTTGGGCCCGCATTTAATCGATCTATTTGCAAATGGGAGCAATACCAAGCTCACCCGGTTTTGCTCCAAAACACCGCACCCAGATGCAGCAGCAGTTGATGCGTTCTCCATCCCTTGGACATCCGAGCGGGGATATGCATTCCCACCACCCCACCTAGTCCCAGCAGTACTCCACCATGCGAAACGGACCTTCAACTCTCATCGCACCCCACTGGGCTAGTGCAAGCTGGTGGCCCCTACTACAACCCGCCCCCCCTCAATGGGCCCCCTACATTCATACCCAGATTCCCCTCACGCACGGTAGCCAGTGCTTGACGGCAGGCACTCACTCCAGTGCCTTTTATGGCGACGGTCTACCATGCAGTCCCATGATCGCACTACGCGTGCTAACCACGCTCGTAGTTGATGCAGGATTGCTGGAAAAACTCAAACATCAGATACTAGAGATCCCCACTCAAACGCGGGCCGCACGTACGAGCCCTACTAGGTCAAGTGTTGAAACTAGAAGCAGGACTGAATGAACTATGGATGAGTTTGGTACAAATAGAAACCCTAAAGGGGTTGTACATAATAGTACATATACAGTTCGACACACCCCCATAGGCAAGAACAAGGGGTCACAAGACCAGTCAAGAAAAGCAAAGCAAGCTCAGGGTGGATCACAACGTCACCACACACTCCAAGCACAAGCAAAGGGCCACAAGGCCAGTTCACATGCAGAGGTATATATGCAGCAGAAACAGTACAGTGATCACTACCTAGCAAGAGCAAGCATGCAGGTACATATATAGATCACAGTACAAGCAAAGTCACGAAGTGAGCAAGTGAGACGAAACAGGCACAAGGCCTAGCATAGTACAGAAGCGCTGATGATCACCAGACGGAAGTGCCTTGGTGAATATATCAGCAGTGTTGGCCCGAGTGGCCACGTGAGTAAGACGAAGCTGACCACGCTGCTGCAACTCTCGAGCTAGGAAGTAACGCAGAGCGATGTGCTTCATTCTGTGCTCCAGTCTGTGCTCCTCACACAAGGCAATGGCGGCCTTGTTGTCGACGTACAGCACTGGAGGGGAATGTTCCTGCTCTCCCAAGTCGGTCAGCAGGTAGGTGAGCCAGCGTAACTCCTGAGCAGCCATGGCTGTGGCGTAGATCTCAGCCTCACAACTGGAGCTGAGAACAAAAGACGAGCGTGTAGACCGCCAAGAAACAGAGCCACAGCCAAGGCTGAAAGTGTAACCCTGTGACGACCGCTGCATAGCCAGGTCGTCAACCCAAGAGGCGTCTGAGTGTCCAGTGAGGACAACGTCACCCCGTCCTCCAAGCACGAGCCCCATGCCTGATGTACTGCACAAGTAGCGCAACACCCTCTTAGCAGCCTCCATGTGCTCTCGCCGGTGTCTCCCGGGCTCAACGAAGCGAGCTAAGATGCTAAGAGGGTAGGCAAGGTCAGGTCGAGTGCAGGTCATCAGGTACATGAGGCAGCCTACAAGCTCACGATACGGGCCACTCGGCTCTACGGACTCATCCGAAGGCAGAGCTGAGGGCGAGTGGCCCGTAGCCATAGGAGTGGACTGTGGCGAGGACCAGGTGAAGCCGAAGCGCTGAAGGACCTGCTGCACCATGTGTGACTGAGTCAGTGTGATGGTGCGCCGTGCTCTGTCCTGGGTGATCTGCAAGCCAAGGTAGCTGCGCAGCTCACCCAGGTCAGTGCACGTGTGTCTCTTCTGCAGCTCCGACTTCACAAGGGCGAGTGCCTCAGTGTCAGCAGTGGCAAAGACCAAGTCGTCGACGTACAAGAGGATGTAGAACGGCGGCAGCGAAGTGTCGGTGCGCAGAAATAGCGTCGTCCTTAGTGTGTCGTGCCACTCACGAGGCGCATGGGGGAGACTGTAGACAGGCCGATGGAGGCTCCACTAGGTACCAGGAGGAAACGACCCAGTGAAGCCAGGTGGGCGGCGCAGCCAGATCTCCTCGTGTAGGCTGCCTTGTAAGAAGGTTGTGCTGAAGTCAAGAGAGTGAAGCTCGTAGTCACGCTGAGCGGCAACGTGCAGCAGCACCCAAAGAGTGGTCATCTTCGGGGTAGGGGAGAAGGTCTGGAAGAAGTCAACTCCCTGTCGCTGACTGAAGCCTCGTGCAACGTAACGAGCCTTGAAGACAGGCGGAGAATCCGGCGGCCGCTTCACCCTGAAAATCCACATTCCATCGACGATGTTCGCCCCAAGAGGGGGAACCTCATCGACGTAAGTGCCTGTGGACTTCCAGGATGCCATCTCTGCGTCCATGGCTGTCTGCCACTGAGAGGAGTAGGGACCCGTGATCGCCTCAGCGTAAGAGCGCGGGGTCGGGATGTCTGGTCTCCCTTAGGGGCAAGCAGCATGGCCACGAGATGAGGCGCAGCGGCTGCAAGACACTCAAGGTCCTCGTGCCTGTCCTCAAGGACGTCCGTGCTAAGAGCACACTCAACCCCGACGGACGGAGGACAGGTAGACGCAGACTCAGCAACAAGAATAGCAGCGTAGTTGAGAAGACAAGCAGCAGCAAAGTCAACAAGCTCAGAGACTAGGGCAGACGCAACATCAGACTCAAACGACGGGTTAGTGACAACAGTGGCTAACAGACGCGTGACAGTAGGGTGAGCAGCACGAACAGCGTCAGTCGCAGGGTTAGGAAGGACAGGAAGAGATGACGCAGGAGGAGACGGCAGCGGGACACGCTGTGGAGCAGAGGAAGGACGAAGTGCCATAGTGTGAGTACCTGGCACAGGGGGAGGACGCGGACGCGGGACTCGACGAGCACGGCGAACAGTGCGAACAGGGGAGGCAGGACGAGACGCAGGCTCATGACGCTCTGTAAGCGAGTCATTCTGCTTAGTGTAAGGAGAAGGAGCAGGCAGTGGTGAGCCTGGCTGTAACGGGAGGCCAGTAGAAGACGGGAGGCTAAGAACCTGGCGAAGTACGGAGGCAGGTGGTGGCAGAGACGACGGCCACGGTGGAGCGAAGAACAGTCGCGGCGGTGCAGTACCACCTGCACCAGTACCAGCAGCAGCTTCAGCGCCTCCTGCAACTCCAGAACCTCCAGCCCCAGCGCCTTTAACGCCAGCACCTCCAGCTCCAGCGTCACCAGCAGCAGCACCCCCAGAACCGGCACCTCCAGTCCCAGGGTCCACAACACCAGCTCCAGGGTCTCCAGCAGCAGCACCCCCAGAACCGGCACCTCCAGCTCTGGGGTCTCCAACTCCAGAGTCGACAGCACCAGCTCCAGAGTCTCCAGCTCCAGTGCCTCCAGCAGCAGCACCCCCAGAACCAGTACCTCCAGCCCCAGGGTCTCCAACTCCAGGGTCGACAGCACCAGCTCCAGGGCCTCCAGCTCCAGTGCCTCCAGCAGCAGCACCCCAGGAACCGGCACCTCCAGCCCCAGGGTCTCCAACTCCAGGGTCGACAGCACCAGCTCCAGGGCCTCCAGCTCCAGTACCTCCAGCACCAGCAGCACCAGTAGTCCTGGCAGCTCCAGTACCTCCAGTACGAGCACCTCCAGTAGCCCCAGCGCCTCCAGCTCCACCAGCTCCACCCCGGAGGCTCCAGCGCCAAGCAAACCACTCGCGCACCTGACGTGGAGAGAGAGGCTCCCGCCGGGACGAGGCACCCGAAGGACCTCTAGTAGACAAATTTCCTCCAGGTGCAGCACCCTCCTGCGCAGCATCCCCATGCTCAGCACCCCCAGGCTCGGCACCCCCAGGCTCAGCACCCCCAGGCTCCGCACGCTCAGGCTCAGCACCCCCAGGCTCCGCACCCTCAGACTCTGCAACCGTAGGCTCAGCACCCCCTGTTTCCGCACTCGCAGGCTCAGCACCCCCAGGCTCCGCACCCTCTAGTACCTAACGCACAGGCTCAGCACCTCCAGACGCAGCACCCCAAGCAGCACCTCCCGCAGTAGCACCTGAGTCACTAGCGACCTCTACAGGCTCAGCGAAGGGGAGTGGGTCTACCTGAGACACACCTGAAGGAGCAGGACCCTGAGGGGGGAGGGGGTCTACCGGAGGGGGGCCAGGAGTGAAGAAAAGCGGCGGGGGAGGGAGA